TTAAAAAAAGCAGGGCAGGCTGCGCCGTCTCAAGGTGGTGGTGTACGGCGTCAAGGTTGCTATGTAGGCCCCTGACATTGCTGAAATCCACATTAAATGTGGAATGGGGAACCGCCTGTGAAACCCTTTTCTTTTTTTTTGTCGACTTCATAGTTGTTCAATTTTCGGAGAGTAGGATTAGGAGAGGTAGGATGTTGGAGGTGAGACCGAGGCAACACCTGAATGAAGCGCGGAACATAGTACGTGCTCGACCACGGATTGCGTGAGAGACCGACGCAGGGCATGGAAGGGCCCCCAGTCCACTCTGCATGCGATCGCCGGGATCCACTCCGGTCTCCGACTCCGGCACGACGACCGCACGACAGGATTTTACACCGGTTGGCGGGACAGCTTCCCGGGGCGGAGTTTAGTAGAGACACCCGGGTTCAGGTCCCCTACTGACCGGCGGGCGGCAGCGGGTACCGTTTCACTGGGTCTCCCTATACCCCCGTCAAACAATCACGCCCCGTGAGTTCGCACGCACGTCTGCTCCGCAAGTTCCAGGCGTCACCAAGACTTACCCCCAACAAGGAAAGGGAAAGGGAAGGGATAGAACTGGCTCTCCAACCCACACGCCGGAACACAGCTAGGCTATTTGGCGGCGGACTCTAGTTGGAGGGTGGTCGCCAGCCAGTCGGACTAGGTCCTACCACCGGTTATGTTTTCGGCTCCCGTTTAGCACCACCCAGGGGTCACTTGTAGGGAATCGCGGGTTAAACCTACGGAAGCGGGAAGCACCAACCCCCAAATAATATATAGATACTTGTTGAACGTCAAACAAAAAGAACTACCGTCAATGATATTTTATATGTAAAAAGAAGCAGATATGTTTCAAGCGCACGTCAAGTGAAGACTCGAAAACAGGCCAATCGGGACGTTTCGCGTCTTTAGTCGCGTCTAAACAAATGCAATAATAATATAACAAGTGCAATCGTTCCAATTATAGCTATCTTTTTTACTCACGCGCTTATCCCATCTTTTGTACTTTTCATTAATGCTACTTGTCAACATGTGTGTGCACTATATCGGTAGGTATGTAGATATATATGGCGCGATCAGATTTGAAGAGTCAGTTACTATGAAGATAACATAATATATTCTGTTGTATAAAAAATCATTGACTACCGTCAATTCACAAAAACTAGCCTCCGTCCTGAGAAGAACTGGCGAGAAACTCAGCGGGCATGTCTTATTTTTTTAAATATTTTAAGGTTTTTAAACTATTCATTTTTACAAGGAGTATATTATAACGTAACAATTATTGCAATACTGAAATGCCCGGAGCGAGCAGCTCATTGCCACTTTGTGCAATCTTCTAGATAATCATTAACTTTATAGTAAGCTTTATTGCACAGATATTCTTTAATAGTTTTCTTAAACCTATGTATATGTAGGTTCTGAAGATTTTGTGGGATTTTGTTGTACAGGCGCACAGACAAACACCCGAATGAGTTTCGTATCTTATGTAACCTACTCATCGGCACAACAAGCTTGTGTTTGTTCCTAGTATTTCTATTATGTATGTCCGACTTTTTAGGAAACTCCTCAATATGTTTACGAACATACATCAAATTTTCAAAAATGTACTGGGATGGCACATTGAGAACTTTAATTTCTTTAAATTTAGAAATATTAGTTATTTATTAGCTTTAAAGACTTCGCTCGCGATTGTGGAGACAAAAATTTGAGCGAGACCCGGTCTTCATACCCTGGACAATATGTTTGATAATTATCATAATTGGTCGAGTTTTTTTAAAAAAAAAAAATTTATTGTCCTTGTAGGCAGACGAGTATACGGCCCACCTGGTGGTGAGTGGTTACCGTCGCCCATGGACTTCAGCAATGCCAGGGGCAGAGCCAAGCCGCTGCCTACCGTTAAGTACTCTCCACAAGCCTCGTTTGAAGAAGGACATGTCATAGCGCTCGGGAAACAGCGTCGAGGGGAGCTCATTCCAAAGCCGGATGGTACGTGGCAAAAAAAATCTCTGGAAACGCACTGTGGATGACCGCAGTGGCTCTAGGTAGTATGGATGAGCTTTACTTTACGCTACTCTTTACTGGTGGTAGCACCTCTTGCGAGTTCGCACGGGTAGGTACCACTACCCTGCCTATTTCTGCCGTAGGCGGGGTGGTGGTACCTACTCACCCCTACTCACAAGAGGTCCTACCACCAGTAATTACACAAATTATAATTTTGCGGGTTTAATTTTATTACACACGATATTATTCCTTCACCGTGGAAGTCAATCGTGAACACTTGTTAAGTACGTGTATTTCATTAGAAAAATTGGTACCCGCCTGCGGGATTCGAACACCGGCGCATCGCTACATACGAATGCACCGGACGTCTTATCCTTTAAGCCTTCGTCAAACAGAACGCGTAATTAGCGCGCGTCCGAGCGCTAAACTGCCGCCGCGCTATGACGCCGAGATGTGTTGTACTACTATGGTAACATACCGTCAAACAGAGCCCCAGCGCTATAAGTACGCAGCGCAGCGTTAGGACGCTTTGACGTCAGGCGTTGTAATATTTTACAAATTTTATTTTAGCTTCCGAGTGAATGTGTATTAAAATACTAGATAATGCCCGAAAAAATGATATAAATAGTTAGAAAATACCCATGCATATATAATGCCACATCTGAATCACTCGATTTCTTAATACTTTTAAATTTTCACACTGCTATCGAAAGGCACTATGATTTGGCGAATGCGTTGCGTCAAGGAGCGTTATACTCATCTAGTCAATTTGAAGAGCGCGACGTTAAGTACGCGGCGCTAAGTACGCGTTCTGTTTGACGAAGGCTTTAGGCCACGACGACTTCAAAATTATTTCATGATAACTTAATTCGGATGAGCTCAAGCGAATTAGAATGTCGTTGGGTGAAGAATTAAAACAAAACAACATCAATCAATCATTCAACAAAACTTAGTTTATTTTATTAATAAAACATAACATTAGCTATTAATGAGAGGTACAGAAGTGAGTGCGAGAGTAATTGTGTTGTTGCAGAATCCGTTGAGTGGGAGAACAGTGCCAGGTCCCTGGGAGAAGTGTTCCAGCCCACCAATGGCTCCTCCCTGTTCTGGACTCTGAGCCACAACTCCAAAGGTCGGAAGTATCTGGAACATCATTTTTTTATTGCTTGGATGGGTGGACGAGCACATCGCCCACCTGGTGTTAAGTGGTTACTGGAGCACATAGACATCTACAACGTAAATGCGCCATCCACCTTGAGATATAGGTTCTAAGGTCTCAAGTATGTTACAACGGCTGCCCCGCCCTTCATGTCTCAAGGTGGCATTTATTTTCTGGATGTCTATGGGCTACGGTAACCGCTTAACCTTAAGTGGGCCGTGAGCTCGTCCACCCATCTAAGAATAAGAAGAAAAAAAAGAGATACATCTAGAAACCTCATAAAAGAACTGTACACGTACCTGACCAGAGCTTCTGGTGATATCCTGTTCGTTTTCCCCCTGGTCATCGTTCTGATGATGTCCGAAGCAGATTTCGAAGAACCCGGCTGCATGATATCGCTAGAGTGGTTTGGGGGGATTAGCTAGTGTCTTTAATGGACTAATTGGACTTGCTATTTAAGTGACCCAGTTCAAAATATGTATATCAAATCCGTCTTAGGGGTCAAAGGTTGATAATGACAGTTATTGGGGCCGTGACATCGCCTGTCCATCCATGGGTAAAGGGCAATCCGTGATAAAGGACTGTTGAGTGCTGCAGTCAGGTATAAGCGACCATAACTGCTTTGTACATAAATGATAGGCAATAACCATATTCGATGCGCGAAAAATATATATTTCTAGGTCTATTAAAATCATTTCAATCCTACAGCTAGATTCGTTAAAATAGATTTTTTTTCAGGTATTTCAACTTTAAATTAGTCTACTGTAAAGTCCATTGTCGCTCAGTCACCTTTGTCTTTCAAGCGTCGATATGTAGTCCCTGCTTTGGTGCAGCAGTGATGGCACTTGATGGCGAAGAACAGCGAGGGAGTCCCGACCCTCAGTAATGAGGAGAATGACGCAAGAAGGACGTAGACCCTACAGGACTTTTGTTTGCCAATACCAAAGAGGCCCCATCCTCTGCGTGTCGGTACCTGAGCAGTCTCCCGGCGTCCCTGCTGCGGTACACGTCGCACTCGTGCAGGAGTCCCCCCTGCCCCGCCGCGTGGCACAACTGCTCGAACACTTGGAACTCCAAGATCGTCGCCAGGAAGTACTTTATGTATTCCTGTGTAAATATAGTAACGGCGCTTTATATTCCATTCCCTGTTTCCTCTGACGCCAACGACACAGACAGATGGAAGAGCAACATTGAAGAGAATTTGATCACTCATCAGGGAAGTCGCGACCACCAGTAATGAGGACGATGACCCGAGAGGTCTTGCAGTTTTCACTTGGTATCATGGAAACTAAATTTGGGATAGGAATTCAAATCCCACCCCCCAATCGACCGTCTTCCCGTTCGGCTATGCTCACTTCTGTCACTCACCTGATCAGATATGATGTGGTATTTAGACCCAGGGTCGAAATCACCTTCGGTTCTTGGAACGGGCGGAATGACACCCTGAAAATTAAATCACTTTGTCTGATATAATGAAAGTGGAATTGATTATTCTGAAGATGGATTTAAAGACTCTTGATTTAAAAATAATAGATTAAAAAAACTAATAAAATACGCTTTTATACGCTTTTAACGAATAAAAAATACGCTTTTTTTTACAATACAATAATTTTTTCTTACACTATTTTTAATACAAATTTATTAAAATTTATTTTCTATTTTTTAGTTGGATTTTACATAAAAGCGTATTTTGTTACTTTTTTTAAACTATTATTTGTTTTTAATTTTTTAGTTGAATTTCAATATTTTTTTTAATATTGAATTGTCATCGGAATTATCATAAGTATATCGAATTTCGAGTTAATCCGACGTTTTGAATGGGGTCAAAATCATATTCAAAGATTCCGTTACATACTAACATACATACGTCTGAAGCTGAATAAAAGCGTATTAAAAAGCCATGCTGTGTGTGGGTCTTGAGATTTGGTGTTTTAGTTGAGAGATACTCTCTGTTTAATCTTTATTTAGAAATGTATTCAGTAAGTTACTGACCAACGTTCATTAAATGGGTGTGAAATTACTGGTGGTAGGACCTCTTGTGAGTCCGCGCGGGTAGGTACCACCACCCTGCCTATTTCTGCCGTGAAGCAGTAATGCGTTTCGGTTCGAAGGGTGGGGCAGCCGTTTTAACTATACTTGAGACCTTAGAACTTATATCTCAAGGTGGTTGGCGTCATTTACGTCGTAGATGTCTATGGGCTCCGGTAACCACTTAACACCAGGTGAGCTGTGAGCTCGTCCAACCATCTAAGCATTAAAAAAAAAGCTACTGACTAACGTTCATTTAACGGGTGTGGATTGTGGAAGGTAACAGCAATATCAGAGCAGACGGCATGAGCCCTCCTATATTACCTGGTACCGCAGCTTCATCTGCCACCAGCGCTTGTTCATGTTCTCCACACCCTCCTCGAAGACCCACCAGCGCCACTGAGAACACTATACGTTAAAATAAAGGAACACACCTCTAAAGTGAGATGTGACCAACAAATCTAGAGCTTTTTTTTTTATAGCTAGATGAGTGGACGACCTCACAGCCCACCTGGTGTTAAATAGTTACTGGAGCCCATAGACATTTACGACGTAAATGCGCCACCCACCTTGAGATATAAGTTCTAAGGTCTCAAGTATAGTTACAACGGCTGCCCGACCCTTCAAACCGAAACGCATTACTGCTTCACGGCAGAAATAGGCAAGGTGGTGGTACCTACCCGTGCAGACTCACAAGAGGTCCTACCACCAGTAATTACGCGAATTACAATTTTGCAGGTTTCATTTTTTTTACACGGTGTTATTCCTTCACCGTAGAAGTCAATCGTGAACGTTTGTTGAGTACGTATTTCATTAGAAAAATTGGTACCCGCCTGAGATTCGAACACCAGTGCATCGCTCAACACGCATGCATCGGACGTCTTATCCGTTAGGCCACGACGACTTAGTGAAGTTCATATTATTATGAAGCTGGAGATCGACCCGATGAGTTATTTCAAAGCCCCTCATCAGGTTAAGCCTTCCAACTCGCTCAACCGGACTGGTGAAGCTAGAAGAACTTGTGGGCCACCAGCGATCCCTTCATCAGATACCAAGCGATAAGTACACCACGGTTAATTTATTTCCTGAAGTGATTTTTGTCCATCTGATAGTTGTCTAGCTTGCTCTTAGCGATAAGACCACCTATTGTACTTTTATAATTATTTAATGTTTTGTATGTATGTTAATTTTGCTGTACAATAAAGCATACTCTCTCTCTCTCTCTCTCTCTCTCTCTCTCTCTCTTTCCTCTCTAAAACACATCTGGCCAGTTTCGGAAGAGGCAGCATGAGATATACGAGGCATATATAGAGTAACTCTTTCGCGTTCCATTGAAAGGTCTGAAGGAGCAGAAATTAATAGAATTATTGAAAGCCGGTTTTTGAACTTAACACCAGCTTTTCCCCTTCATAATATATTGTCATCTCACATATCATATTCTCAACTCTCACGCGACTGTTACCTGGTCCACCATAAAAGCGAATGGTAGGTAGGCCACCTTCTCCAGCGCCATCGTCATCAGGAAGTTTATGCTGACTTCATATGGATCATTACTCCTGCGGAATTTCAACAATATTTGACGACACCGAATCGTGTTTTCGGGTCAAGATGTTACCAGGGCCCAGCTACCCATCTCGCTACTTGAGAACGAAGTATCAATGGTATTTTTTTTATGATTGAAAGATTACTGGTGGCCTGTGGGCCTTTCCAGTTTCACCAGGACAGGTGGGCGAGCAAAGGCTCAGCCAGGAGGGGTGGGATTTGCTAACAGCTGCCCGAGCGCCTGCGAAGGAGACCTAACAACTCAAGAGCAGCTGCTTCGCGAATGAATCTACTACCGGATCGGAATCGCGACCCGCTGAGAAGATCCCGCGGGAAACTCAGCGGGATGATGCATGGGTTAGGTTGCACGTCGACCTCTTTGTCGAGTTCGACGAGTACTCAATGGTAATAGCTGTTTGTCAAGTCACCACCATGCAAATTGATTTGAACAAGATGTCACTTCTTCATCGTAAAAGATATATATGAACAAGCGCTAAGTACGTATTACAAAAAAAAGGGTTCCTTTCTGCGGGATTTGAACCTCAGCACTGTCGCATCGCTCGATACGAGAACACCGAGCTTCTCACCCAATAGGCCACGATGATTATCGACCAGGAATGCTTAAACTATAACCGGGGTACTGACGTGCGAGAAGGATAGTAACATCTGACCAAAACTACACGCAATATCAAAACACTAATGACCTCGTTAATGTACAATTGATTGATTCTAATGCCATTGTCAATCTTACAAAAAGGAAATGTACGTTGTTAATTACATCTATTAGGTATTAAGACGTTGTATATGATAAGTTCAATAAAACCTTGACATTATCATCATCAACCGACAGTTGTCCACTGCTGGACATAGGCCTCTTCTAATTCACACGACTAAGCCAAATCTACGGCATCGCATCTACCCCTTGATGGCACCCTTCGAAGGTCATCGCGCCACCTAGCCAAGGGGCGTCTACGTTAAGTTTGAATTGACATTTGACATGATGACATTAAAAATAAAAACGATTCATTTCCAAAAGAGCATGCGAATTTAGAGCCATTACGTTAGAAATCCACAGTTTATCAACACTTCTAGCCCTGGGTACGGTACATGCGACGTTATGTCTCTGAGCCGAGACTCACTTGTTCTGGTAGAGCCCGACCCGCTGCAGATGCACCAAGTTGTACACGGACAGCGTCGCCGCGTTGGCCACGGCCTCGTGGAACGCTGCAACAGTAGACCCTGGACTGTACTGATGACGGCAGCCAAGACCACCTCGGGTGGACTCACAATAATACCAGTCCCAAGGTGGCAAGGTGATCTTGTACTAAAGATGCCGTACCGGCTTTGAGAGAGGAGGTAAAAGTCTCAATGGGATCAGATCAGCATATCGCAGCTTTATACCGCAGAGCACGAATGCTTTGTTCCAGAAATAGGCAGGACGGTGGTGTCTCATGTGAACCAACAGTACGTCCCACCACCAGGGGGCGCCTCACTAGACGTCATGTCACAGAAAGGCATCATGGCCACGGAATGTTGACTGTATCATCTGATGAAAAACCGGTCAACTACCACACGTAAGATCCTCTTGTGTTTAAAATTGCAATTTTTACTGTGTTGAAGTTTTTTTTATTTTTTTTTATTGCTTATATGGGTGGACGAGCTCACAGCCCACCTGGTGTTAAGTGGTAACTGGAGCCCATAGATATATGCGCTATCCACCTTGAGATATAAGTTCTAAGGTCTCAAGTATAGTTACAACGGCTGCCCCGCCCTTCAAACCGAAACGCATTACTGCTTCACGGCAGAAATAGGCAGAGTGGTGGTACCTACCCGCGCGGACTCACAAGAAGTCCTACCACAAGTAATTACGCAAATTATAATTTTGCGGGTTTGATTATTATTACACGATGTTATTCCTTCACCGCGGAAATCAATCGTGAACAATTGTGGAGTGATTAATCACAACGCATTAAGAAATCAGATATTTAAGTCCAGACCATCATCTGTTTTATTTGCTAAAATATTCGAAGTGTATTCAATAAACGTGAGACTCACCAGGATTCGCGCCATCCCTGAACAGCTGGGGCTGATCAGCGTACTGCAGGTAGTACTGTATGTGAGCCATCTCGTGGTGAGTGGACACGAGGTCCTGCATCGTTACTTCGGTGCACTGTTTGATCCTGGAATGAAGGGTCGGAGCTGTATGTGTGCAGTCAAGACTTGCGCATTTTAGGGACCCTTTAAAGCAAGTCCTTTCATAATCCTCATTTATCATTCTTTACTGGTGGTAGGATCTCTTGTGAGTCCGCGCGGGTGGGTATCACCATTCTGCCTATTTCTGCCGTGAAGCAGTAATGCGTTTCGGTTTGAAAGGCGGGGCAGCCGTTGTAACTATACTGAGACCTTAGAACTTATATCTCAATGTGGGTGGCGCATTTACGTTGTAAACGTCTATGGGCTCCAGTAACCACTTAACACCAAGTGGGCTGTGAGCTCGTCCACCAACTAAGCAATAAATAAAAAATCTTCTCAGTGGGTCGCATTTCCGATCCGGTGGTAGATTCTGCGAAGCACGGCGCTTGCTAGGGTTCGTGTTAGCAACGTCATCAGGTTTGAGCCCCGCGAGCTCACCTACTAGTTAAGGTTACGCTGAAATAGACTCTCAGCTTAGGTAGGAAAAAAAAGGAGATGAAAGGATAATTTCGAAGAATTCTTCAGAATACTCGACATGGAAAATACGGTACGTTATATGTATAATCAAGGTACGTAAGGTCAGAGATTCCAAACGGTCAGCCATGGCGGCTCCGGGACATACCTATAGTCGATTCTGTTGCAAAAGTCCCATGCGCTGGCGGTGCACTGCACGCTCAGCTGTTGCGGTCTCGCCAGCATCGACCCTCGCCAGAACTCAGGAGGGACTGGCTTGAGGCCCATAGACGTGTAGAACTCTTCAGCCATTTGGAACATTCTGGGAAGTTCAAAGTTGATGAAGTTATTAAATTTCACTGTCACAATTACCGATAAAATACTTGGACTAATATAAGAATTCTCATTGCGATCTTATCCAAAAAAAAAACTTTCTTCTACCTAAGCTGATGGTTTATAGAGATCATTTCAGCGTAACCTTAACTAGTAGATGAGCTCACGGGGCTCGAACCTGACGACGTGGCTAACTCGAACCCTAGCAAGAGCCGTGCTTCGCAGAATCTGCCACCGGTTCGGAAACGCGACCCACTGAGAAGATTCGGCGAGAAACTCAGTAGGTCAGATTAAAGTTAATCTACTAAGCTCGTTGGACCTTATAATAAAGCGCGTACATTTTGTGACACTAAAACCACAATGGTAACATATTTATTTCTTCATTGATGTAGTGGTTCGTGACCTTGAACTGTATCAAGGACAGACGGTAAGTAGGAGGTACTGATAGCGTGATCAACTCGAGGAGGATGGAAATTGGATTTGTTTGCTATTCAAGTCATTTTTATTATCTGCACTGGTTTAGTCATTTTGGATATTGAGGATTTAGAAAAGTCCTAAGTTTGTCGTGGATTCTTCTGAGTGCTAAAGCTGGATTCCAAATCGTTGGTGAATTCATGGCGATTTAAAAAGGTCTATGAAAGTATACTTGGGCTTTCTGATCTAATATTATATGAGGAGTTAAGGTTAATCAGTGGAATAGAATGTAATTTATGTACAGCCGTGAATGACCGTGAACTGTCGATGGAGATGGCGGAGCCCGCCTTACCTTAGTGGAGTGAATCCTTTTCTGAGCATCTCCGACGTGACGTCGACGTTAGGTGACTGCGGGAACGGCATAACTAAATCCATGATGGACTTCCAATTCTGCGCCCACATGTTGCCTAAAAATAAGATGAACAATTTTTTTGTTTCAGAAACTGTTCAGAAGACTTGCTTAAACGTTCTGAAGATAATAAAGGAGTTAGCGAGCGTGGGTGGGTTCGCTCTAAGGTGAATCGATAACCCGTGGAAGAACATGGAAATCTGTTGGACTTGAGCAGCGCAGTACCAGTCATGATGGTGAACCTTGAGAAAGGCTCTTATCCAGAAGTGGACGTCTGTGGGATAGTGATGAATAGGAACCGGTACCCATAGATATCATACGGTAAATGTCACCACTCACCTTGAGACAAAAGGTCGAACTTACATGACGGAACGCATGAGTGCATCACGGTAGAACATGGTGATGCATTGGCTGATTGGACCCACCCGCACGGATTTAAAACACGCCTTTTCATAAGTAAACAAAAGTTTTGATACGGTAAAAAGCAACTTACCTAATAGATGAGCCGGTATGGGTCCGTCGGGTCTGAGAGCCGCGTCCCCGTATCTTTGGAAGAGTCTGCGTCTGACGTAAGTGAAGAGTTGCTTGTAAAGTGGCACGACCTGATTGTAGACCTCTTCGACGCTGGCCCTAAACGACTGGTCCTCGTATGCGGCTCGCATTTGTTCCCCGGCGTCTCTGAAACCTAGGGAATGACAAGATTTTTTAGACCGAAAGTTTTTGCTGACTTTGAGATCAAGAGAGAGATTGAGAGATCTCTGGAGATATGTAGTGGTCTAAAGAGGTTTTTTATGGAGATCACTTCTGCTAAGAAATTATAATTACGGAAACAATTGTACTCTGTGCACTATGGTGACTCCAAGAGAAGGAATGAACTCGAATGAGATTGAGGAAAATATTTGCAAACCTGCATTCACCGCCGCTTGGTTCACCAGCTGAACGTATCTCATGTAACGATTCCTGAGTTTCGGGCCGGTTTGCTCCCTGAAATTCTTCCACACGTACAACAATTCACTCTCGATCCTCGAATGGGCAAGGATCCTGGAAATTTCTGGATCCAATTGCATGTTGCAGTACTGGGAATATTCGGAGGTCTCCGTGTAGGGCTGGTAATGTTGGTACGGTTGGTTGGCTAATGTGTAGCCCTGGTTTGTGAGGTCCGAGTACACCCTGGGTATGTGAGGATCGAAGGGCTTCTGTCTGTACGGACAGATTTTAGCTGAATTGTATATCTCTTTCATCTCTGCTATGAGTTGCTGGAGCTGAAAATTTTTATTAGCTTAGTTTGGAACTTTATTATTTTCTTCGAGTTTCGAGAATCTTAGACACAACTAAAAGTCTTTTTCCAGTTTTTTTTTAATATAGACAATAGTTTACACGATGTTTAAATGTCTATGAATAGCATCCCAATTATCTGTGATCACGAAGCTGTTATGTATCCGAAACATCTGAAATAATAAACATGAGAGTGTGTCACAAAATCATAAAATTGGTTTTATTTATGGTGTAATATATTGTGGTAGGCTCAACAAACTGAAAAATTCTTTGTGAGGTCTCCTAATTAATGCAGTAGGATGGTCTGGTCTTCAGCAGGGAGAGATTGTGGGATATCGTGAGACGCGTCAGGTCTGCCCCCTCCAACAGTATACGACAATCACCACCACTCTGTCAAGAGTGGAACGATCGAGACGAATAATAGTGATTTATCATGAAAGTTAGCTATTGTAAAGTCATACCTCAGAAAATTTATCATCGGGTAAACTGGCCCTGCTGCTTTGTAAGATTTTAGTCAGCTGTCTCCTCGCCAGCGGATCGGAGACCCTGGATGCGTCATATGCCACAGCCTTTCTCCAAGATAGCCTCTCGAATTTCGAGCTCAGAGCCAGCTCGTCCATCATAGGTCTTCGATTATGTTCTGTTATATTGGTTACGAACTTCCACTGGGCCATGGTGACTCTGAATTTCGAATTTTGAGGTTTTGTAACAGTTGCAAAAAGTTGCTATGGTCTTCCACTGTTTTGTATGTGTATTCGTTGATCTATTACGTGGATAAGTGAGAGATCCCATGGCTCAATTAGAGTTAAGCCATTAGCCAATATTTCTTGAGATATGTCTCAATTGTTTGATAATTAAAATTTTTGCGGGTTTGATTTTTATCCTTGCGAAATCATGTCATTTGGAGGAATTTGTAATGTTCACGAATGAAATACTCAAGTATGTATTCATTTCAGAAGGAAAAATGATATTTGCTGGCGGGATTTGACACTGGCTGTCTTATCTCCAGGCCACACGCTCAGGTTTGGGTCGCATGGTGGGCCTTCGGATAAGTCCTTGGCCAACGTCAGAGACAAAAGCGGGTCGAGCTAATGATGGTGTGTGCTGAGTCTTCATGCAAAACGTGCAGGATTGCATTTTAGAGAACAGACTCAGGTTTGACGGGGGATGGTTTACATAAGATCTCTATGACTCACCTATAGCACATTCCGGATGCTTCTCTGTCGTATTCTCTCAAGAACTGCATCGCTTCTCCCGAGTTCGTGTTTGTACCCTGGAAGAGGAGGAGGACTATAAAATCAGCTGTTTGATGGAGGAATCGACCATTTTGATAAAGCAGCACGACACGAGAACCCTGTCATTGTGGCCGCCGGAAACTATATAGCCGATCCTGCGGACCAAATGGTAAACAGTCGCCGTCGACCAAAACACGTCATCTCGGATCCTCCCGGTCCACTAACGGTGCTTTTATGTACCCCAAGCACCGGTCATCGTTCTCGTTGAACCCGTCGCTTGCGACAAAGGGCTCAGCGAGTAAATTAACCCACAGACACAGCCAACTGAGTTTCTCGCCGGATCTTCTCAGTAGGTCGCGTTTCCGATCCGGTGGTAGATTCTGCGAATCACGGCTCTTGCTAGAGTTCGTGTTAGCAACATCGTCAGGTTTGAGCCCCGTGAGCTCACCTACTAGCCCGGCGACGCTGACATGGTCTCTCTAGACCATCAGCTTAGGTAGGAAAATAAAGGAATCGAGGACTCTTTTCAGAGTACGTATGAAGTACACGTTATAGCGTTCACAGAATACCGTGGAGGGGAGTTCATTCGAAAATGCCTGAATTTTTTAACACGTATCTGGAATTTATTTTGCATCTTTATATGTGGTGGGGCGTATGGCAAGCTCGCCGTGATAGGTACCTATCATACCAGCATCCTGCTTATTCCTATCGCGAGCCAGTTTTGCTTTCCAGTTTCAAGGCAGAGACAGAGACTTCAAGCTCATGTTGCAGGCTGGGTAGTGGCATCAACACACAACCGCACCAGGTAGATCGTGAGTTGGTGGTCCATTTACACATGCCTAAAGCGTCAAACGCGGCTTTTATTCGTTGACAAAAAAGCGAAGAAAATTGTTGATTCGTGTACCATACGAGTACATACATAAGTTTAAAATAATACTTGGTTCCGCTATGTGAGCGAAGTAACTGCGACATTTTCGTGCAGCCTTGGCGTTTGATGCCTCACAGCAGAACGGAGGCACGATTTTTGCGTTTCAAATTGTCTTTATAGACGTCGCGTGAAAAACACCGCGTCAATTATGTGGCTCGCTGAAGTCATCCTACCCCATTGGCGATGTTTTTGATTATAAAAACGACCTGATCCAGTATACTGTCCGTAAATTAGTTTAGGATTCTTCATATATATCGCGTATTTTGTCTATACTAATATTATAGAGAGGAAAAATTTGTTTGTTTGTATTGAATAGGCTCCGAAACTACTGAACCGATTTGAAAAATTCTTTCACTGTTTGGAAGCTATACTATTCCCGAGTGACATAGGCTATAATCTTTTTGAAAAAATGGGATCCTTACTAAAGCTCCAATAATGTAACTCAAGGTGTAAAAATTACGAAAGTTATGAGGTAACAAACATAAAATCTTATGTTACGGACGCTTTTTCCGGTTAGGGTACCCCTCCGCATCGTCTCATAAGGAACTTCGTTCCAAAATATTGTTATTTTCATTAATATGGCGGAACCTGAAACGTGCTAACGGCTTCTGGACATCATGAGCCGGTCCTCTTAGGTTAATAAGAATACGTTTTCGGTACGGAGACAGATTCGGGGCAGAAAGTTTTTTTTTATTGCTCAGCTGGGTGGACGACCTCACAGCCCACCTGGTGTTAAGTGTTTACTGGAGCCGATAGACATCTACAACGTAAATGCGCCATCCACCTTGAGATATAAGTTCTAAGGTCTCAGTATAGTTACAACGGCTCTCCTAACCTTCAGACCGAAACGCATTACTCCTTCACGGCAGGGCGGTGGTACGTACCCGCTCGGACTCACAAGAGGTCCTACCACCAGTAAAGACCAGTTAGCTTGCGACTTTAGGACCAGACTGTACATTGCACGCTTCAAAGCGCGTGTTTGTCGTAAAGTTCTCCAAAGCTTGACCTTCAAGAAGATTACCGGATATCCTTTTCAGCAGAAATCGTCGGTAAACGATTATATTGTTATAATAATAATGTGCTTTATCTCACTATGTTGGATTTAGACGACATAATGAATTTAATGATGGTTATTGTATTGTTCTCTTTTTTTTATTGCTTAGATGGGTGGACGAGCTCACAGCCCACCCGATGTTAAGTGGTTACTGGAGCCCATAGACATCTACAACGTAAATGCACCACCCACCTTGAGATATAAGTTCTAAGGCGTTGAGTATAGTTACAACGGCTGCCCCACCTTTCAAACCGAAACGCATTACTGCTTCACGGCAGCAATAGGCCGGGTGGTGGTAGCCACCCGCGCGGACTCACAAGAGGTCCTACCACCAGTAATTACGCAAATTATAATTTTGCGGGTTTGATTTTTATTACACGATGTTATTCCTTCACCGTTGAAGTCAACCGTGAACATTTGGTGAGCACGTATTTATGGCTGTAGGCTAATCCCACCCCTCCTGGCTAAGCCTTTACTCGTCCACCTGTCCTATTGAAACTGGAAAGGCGTCCGGGCCACCAGTAATCCATCAATCATAAAAAAGGGAAGACACGTTCGTCTTGCGTCCCTAATCGTACCATCGGTTTCAGCGTGTATGATAATCTAGCATATTTCTACCGCAGAGTAGTCGTGTGATTGATATTCAATCGAATGAGAATTCGAACTCATTTTTGAAGCCATTAAGGCTGTGATTTATGTAGACTCCAATAACCGTTCTCTGCCCAACGAGAAGTCTCTGTAGTCGTCGTGGCCTAACGGATAAGACGTCCGGTGCATTCGTGTTGAAGCGATGCACCGGTGTTCGAATCCCGCAGGCGGGTACCAATTTTTCTAATGAAATACGTACTCAACAAATGTTCACGATTGACTTCCACGGTGAAGGAATAACTTCGTGTAATAACAATCAAACCCGCAAAATTATAATTGGCGTAATTACTGGTGGTAGGACCTCTTGTGAGTCCGCGTGGGTAGGTACCACCGCCCTTCCTATTTCTGCCGTGAAGCAGTAATGCGTTTCAGTTTAAAGGGTAGGGCAGCTGGTGTATTATAAAAAAGGTGAGCCCTTAGAACTCATGTGTCAAGGTGGACTCACTTAACACTAGGTGGGCTACAAATAAAATAAAAAAGTTCATATCTGAAGATAAGGCTTCGCGATTAAGAAAAATATTTTATCATGGAGGTCGTTTGTGAACACTTGTTAAATACATTTATATTATCTCAGAAAGGTTTACTGATTCATTTTATAGTTTAAGACATTTTTTTTAATTTAGAATATAAAGAAATTATAATAGTTTTTTATTGCTACATAGATGCATAGGGTTCTATTGCAGACAGCCGCGAAAACCATTAATAAAATTTATAGCTAAACCCATATAACAGCTAAACCCAAGCAAGCGTATAGTTAATTTATCTGAGTACTTTTCTTATAGATTTTTCACTCACCATTCTGTAGTATTCTTGTGTTTTCACGTGTCGTGTGTAGAAAGCAAAACATAGGCACAACGTCGTAGCGACTTTGGTTCCCATTTTAAAAACTAAATATTGATCATTCAACACAAAACATTTATTACACTATATTACTTATTTACTATTTTAGAAGATAGATTTATTTTATTTTACAAAATATATACCTATTTTTGGTCAATTTTAGTTGAGTTTTAATTGGTTATTTGAGAAAAACGAAAATTAATAAAATTCCCGCCAAATTAAATTTGACAGTACTAATTTTTTTTTTCAGTAATTGACAAATGGATAACAATATGTCCGTACTAGGTACACCCAAAACTTTACTACGACGTAATGAAGTTTGAGAAATCTGTCTCCCGTTCGCTTTCTTGTCGTCGACTGTAGTAATATTTCCGTTGCTTTTGTTTTCTACACGGTTTGATGAGCACGTGTCGGTGTACGTAAGACAACAAAAGTCTTGCGATTATTTTTGATCCAGGCATAGGTCTTTGAATTAAAAAGCTATTTAACATTCACCGCAAAATCCTTGAAATTTATTTGAGTATTTCTCTGTTTTCAAATGGAACATAAATACCTACACATCTTTTATTTCGGGGTCAATTTGTGTAGACTAGAGGTCCCGCAGTAGTCGAAATTCGACTATAATTAATTGGAATTGTAAGTTTGTACACTATTATGATTGTATTTTATACTTCTATAATTACAAAATTCGCCACTATAAAAAATATTAACAAAGACAAACAATATTCAATCTATTCTCAATTTGACAACAGACGCCAAGAACAAAAGTTTGACAATAAATAGTATGCATGCGTGTCTGCGTCAAATACATGGTATGCAGTGTGTGTAATGTTTTCTTTATTGTTTTAATGTATCTTTTATGCATTATTTTTAAAAAATATTAGCATTGTGCACTTCTTCTATATATTCTCTATAAGTGTGGAAAATTTCATACTCCTCCGTCCGCGCAATTTTCGTAAAAAGGGATACAAAGTTTTTGCTTCACGTATTAATATATAGATATCTAAAAAGTAATCACTTAAATAGAAAGTTTACTAATAACCAACAAATGTCGCGAATATCTTGCACCTGTTTGCTGTTAGTAAAAATATATTATTGTATAAATCTCAAGATAGATTTTCGAATATCTTGTGGATCAGACGCGTGCGGCACACGGTCGCGTGCTCCATACTGCGATGTATTCTGACAATAATAATACAGAGGGTGCTTTAAGTTTTCTTTAATTAGAATATCTGACTATACTTATTATGTGTTTTAGAAGTTTGGTATGCGATAATCCTAAAAAAACTCCGTTGCATCAACGTCGGGCAGTTCCTGAAAAGTGATTTCGTGTGATTTTATTAATGGTTACAGCGTAAAGTTTACTATATAACTGATTTACGGCAGCAACAAATATGTGAGTCCGTTGAGTTTCTCGCCGGATCTTCTCAGTGCGTTGCAATTCCGATCCGGTTTTTTTTTTTCAAATATAGGGGGGTGTAGTGTAGGGGAATGACAGCCCGGCCCCCTTAGTTGCTTACTATGCAGTTGTAGTATTGAGCAATGTACGTTAGTCAGTCAGTGGTTAACGTGTAGCGATCCACCGCGGTCGCTGACGCTAACGTGTAGCGATCCACCGCGGTCGCTGACGCGAATAAACATGTAATCATACTCAGTGTTTTATTGACCACTCCGATGAGGTTTCCGGAGGAGAGCACACAATAAACCCTCAACATCACTAAACCTCACAGATGCATTCGGGCAGCTTTTTTTTACATTTTTTATATGGGTGTTAAGCGGTTATTGGAGCCCATAGACATCTACAACGTAGATGCGCCACCCACCTTGAGATATAAGTTCTAAGGTCGCAAGTATAGTTACAACGGCTGCCCTACCCTTCAAACCGAAACGTATTACTGCTTCACGGCAGAAATAGGCAGGCTGGTGGTACATATCCGTGCGGACTCACAAAAGGTCCTACCACCAGAAAAAAGGAGGAATGAGGCTTGTGGAGAGTACTGAGTGGTCGGCGGTAGCTTGGCTGTGTCCTTGCCATTGCTGAGCTCCATGAGCAACGGTAACTGCTCACTATTATGTGGGTCGCATACTCGTCTGCGTAGAAGATCAATAAAATAATCCTTACAACCAGAGTTTTTACAGTGAAATTTGGAACGTTACTATCCTCTAGAATTTTCGTAGGGTGTATACCAGACCAAACCAGACCCACCAAATCAGACCCACGTCGGCCATGACGAGATTAAACCATAAACGCGGTTTTAATTATTTTGGCATTATCATAGCATGTCATTACAAATAATCGACTTCGATAAAGCGGCACGATATGAGAACCATCTCATTGTGGCCGCCGGTAACTACATTCCCGATCCTGCGGACAGAATGGAAAGCAGTCGACGTCGCCCCAAACACGTCATTTCGGATCCTCCCGATCCACTAACGGTGCTTCTAGGTACCTCAAGCACCGTTCATCGTTCTCGACGAACCCGCCACTTGCGACGAAGGGCTCGGCGAGTAAATTAACCCTCAGACACAGCCCACTGAGTTTCTCGCCGGATCTTCTCAGTGGTTTGCGTTCTGATACGGTGGTAGATTCTGCGAAGTACGGCTCTTGTTAGGGTTCGTGTTAGCAACGTCATCAGGTTACTAGTTAAGGCGACGCTGATATAGCCTCTCAAGGCTATCAGCTTAGGTAGGAAAAAACCAAATGATTCAAGCACAGACACATCTACGACGATACATAATCTGTGATACGATCATTTTAATCACCCGTCGAGATGTACTGAAGATTTACGATCGCATTCTTCCCGTTTAAGTGTATTCAAAACTTTTACAAAACACACATACTATTTGCGTAATTAGATTTACATGTCATCATTATTTGTAAATTTTTATGATTCACTGCTCGTTTAGATGTCACTGATTAATTGATTTGCACGAATCCAGACGGGAACTTGGGGAGGATAAGCCAACTGGGGCAGTAAGGAATTTTCCTATCCTGGCTATTAATAATTTTTTTATAAATTTAAATTAAAAATAGTGTAAGATAAAATGATTTTATTGTAAAAAAAAGCGTGTGGTGCATGGTATCAGTGGTTATAAATATTTTATGAACAGATATGAGCAGAAGGGTTATTTTGATAATATCCTCAAAAGCACCCTACGCTTTAAAATTTATTTTCTATTTTTTAGTTGGATTTTCTATAAAAGTGTATTTTGTTAGTTTTTTTAAACTATTCTTTATTTATTGTATGAACTAGTGAACGTATTCTCCATTCAGCAGATTGAGTGGTTACCAGACTCCATCTCCACCACAGCGTGATGAATAACGACTGAATCATTCATGAAAACCGGTACGCATCTAAATCTATATATATATAAATGAATTGGTGTTCGTTAGTCTCGCTAAAACTCGAGAACGGCTGGACCGATTTGGCTAATTATGGTCTCGAATTTTTTGTGGAAGTCCAGAGAAGGTTTAAAAGGTAAATGAATATGAAAATGCTCGGAATTAAATAAAAATAACAACAAGTCCTTTTGTTTGTTTTAAGTTTATTTTATACAAAAGTTTAGGTCTTTTATTTATCGATTGAGGCACTACGAAGTCTGCCGGTCCAGCTAGTTTTTAAATAAATAAAAAAAACATAATTTTTTTCCTCATACATTTCATTTGAATTATCTTCATTCCTAGTTACGTCGTGGAAGTCAATCGTGAACATTTGTTAAGTACGTACGTATTTCATTAGAAAAATTGGTACTTGCCTGCGGGATTCGGACACCGTTGCATCGCTACGTACAAATGCATCGGACGTCTTATCCTTTAGGCCACGACGCCTTCAAAAGTCCTGCTAAGTCCAAGACCGCGTGACGTAAAGCTTTATCCAAAAAAATCCCTAAATCTCATTATGCAAGTACCTTTTAGCCACTTGAGCCACAATACAAATTAAAAAAAAAAAACTAGTTGAAACAATCTATTGTAGTCAAACAGGTTAGTTTGTGAACAATGGAGAGTATTCGGGCCGCATCCGAGGATTGTGTTGCCTTTATATGAATTACTAGCGACCCGCCCTCGCTTCGCTTCGGAAACATTAAAACACACATGAATACAAAAAAAAAAATATTTTTTTTAAAAAAAGTAGCCTATGTTCATCAGGGACAATGTCGGCTTCTAATGGAAAAAGAATTTTTCAAATTGGTCCAGTAGTTTCGGAGCCTATTCGAAACAAACAAACAAACAAATCTTTCCTCTTTATAATATTAGTATAGATACTTGAGCTGTTACATACTGGTTGCTTTTGTGGTTTTAAGCCGCGACTTCCAAACCGTGTGTGTGTGTGGTATTGGCCACCTGTGACAGAGCTGCTGGATGTAGGTATCATTACACGTAATGTTTTCTAAGTCAATGGATTTTACTCATTAATTATCGTAACACATTGTTTGGGAAATCGATGTTTTATTTTTATTGGGTACACTGGTGAAAGAGCTGACAAGCCTGTATGATCAGGAAGGGTGGCATTTGCTAACAGCTGCCCGAGCGCCTCCGAAGGAGACCTAACCACGTCCTTACGGATCCATCAGATCCAATAACCTTTGCATTAGACGCCTTCAGCTCTAACACTAGGAGCAGGCTTACGGACCCCGGTAACCGTACTGGTCGAACTCGATAAAGAGTTCGCCGTGCAACCTAACCTATGAATCAGCTCGCTGAGTTTCTCGCCGGATCTTCTCAGCGGGTCGCGATTCCGATCCGGTAGTAGATTCATTCGCGAAGCAGTTGCTCTTGAGCTGTTAGGTCTCCTTCGGAGGCGCTCGGGTAGCTGTTAGCAAATCCCACCCCTCCTGGCTGAGCCTTTGCTCGCCCACCTGTCCTATTGAAACTGGAAAGGTCTCCGGGCTACCAGTAATCCTTCAATCATAAAAAAGGAGACCTTACAGCTCAAGAGTAACTGGTTCGCGAATGAACCTACTACCGGATCGGAATCGCGACCCACTGAGAAGATCAGGCGAGAAACTCAGTGGGCTTGTCTTTAAACAAACTAGACTTTACTTTCAAACTATACTACTGTTTAACAAAACTATTTCAATGCGTCTGTTTTGACGACGTATCTAAAAACCGATTAGGCAATGGCGCGTAACGAATTGAGAGGACGCGCCTATTATAATTACGATTCAAAATATATAATGTTGACTTCTAAAAGTCGGAGGTCAGAGAATATCATTATGTATTAATACAGGTGTGCTTTTTGCTTACTGCGAGTTTTTTAATGTTCTCGATAACGTAAAAGTTAACTCAAATTTGTTTGCAGTTGGAACGTTTGCCGCTCTAGGGGCGCTATTCCAACTGCTTACAAAT